TTCTCTAATTCCTCCATTGTCTAAGTTCCCATTAAAGTACAGGTAATAATAATAATTAATAATAATAATAATCATTTCAGCATTAATTACCTTGGCCTAAGGCTTGAAATGAAGAACCTACAGATACTATTTACTAGGCCTATAAATAATAACTAGCACAAAGGGAATATTTTTTGTGTTATTTCCCCTTTTTCTAAGTTCCCCTTAAAGTACAGGTAGTAATAATAATAATAATAATAATAATTATTATTATTATTATTATCATTTCGGCATTACATGTAATTAACTTGGTCTAGCCTTGTAATCAAGAACCTGCCGATTACCTAGCCTAATATTAATAACTAGCTCATTTTTACATTGTTTTGCCATTTTGGCAGGTCTTATGGCATCCAGTATTTTAGAGCTGCCTATTCTCAGCTCTTCTCTTAATTTGAAAATAACTGTCATTCTGTTTTATTTGATCAGATGAAGAAAAACGCGCTTTTCCTTACTCTTTGTGCTTTTCCCAGAAAGCGTTTTAGTAGGCCTAGGTAATTATGCAAAACCCAGGCCTAACTAAAAAATTAAAATTGTCATAGTATGTAACTCAAGTTAAAATAACAATTTTCATTACTCGTGCAGCTTAAATCAAATATTATATGTCATTTTAAACGACCCATTGGTATTAACATGGTAACATCAATGTATTTTTAAAAATTAGACAGTGACGTTCTCTCAGAAGTTGTTCTGTAGACGTTTATCTGTTGATGACCTTTTGACCTCCTGAATTCTGCAATGAGATTTTCGGGTCGATTCAGCCGAGACGGCCCGAGTGGAGTTTCATGTAAACGTTTCGTACGGGAAAAAAAATCGCCTCCGGCACAGTATTTATTCTTGATGATGAAGCAGACGCAACATGTCTTTGTACGGAATTCCTTTGTACGCCGCCTTCAGGAATGTGGGCGCACTCTGCTAAGACAAAAGTAGGCAGATGCTAAAAATAGATGTGTTCACCTACTTCAGTTGGCACGTTCACATAAGTTATTGTGATAAACTTATCATGATCTATTCATCATGAAAACCGTTCATATAGAAACCATCATCATGATCTATTTATGCTAATGCGTGCAGTGTTGCATGAAAACTACCAGAAGCACAACCAATGAGGTTAAGATCTACCAGAAGCACAACCAATGAGGTTGGGACCTGTTTAATAAACTGAAGGCTGATTGGTTGAATTCAATCTCATGAATTAATTTATCACGTTAACCACGGTTAATCATGATGAATCAACATCAACGTGACCACTGCTTGGGTATTTACCCAAGATCTTGGGTATTTTGATAGACTTGGTCTTGGGTTCTTGGGTATTCCGTTCAAATCCTTGGGTATTTTATTTTTACTAAGAAAATTAAATATTTTTGTCATAGAGGAAGAATTAAGAAGTAACAAAGTATATTTCAGTCCATTCAAGTAAGCAAAACTCAACGAAGTGCACATAACATTGTTAATTGACTGTTAATTTCTATAAACATGGGTTCAGAATTGTTTATTTGTGATTTGCATTGCCATTGATCTTACCTAATTAATGCATTACATAATAAAACTTGATCACTGATAACACTTGCCGACTGAGGGCGTATTTTTCTATCCGTATTATTACCTCATGAATATTAATTTTAATAATTAACACAAACAATTACAATAAAAAAAATGGTTTATATAATTGAACTAAAAGGGAAACTATACATGCGAAAAACACAATTTTTTAAAAATTTTAATGTATTTTCAGGAAGCTTGGGTAATTTTGGGCAATTTTTGCTGAATCTTGGGTAATTTCGACCCAGTCATTGGGTATATCAAAAATTGTGAGTGGTCACGCTGATCAACATGCTCCACTAGATCACAATAAGGTGATTAAGCTGAGCACGTTATTTGATTCTGGTTGGTTCACATAAAGTGACTGGCTTGATCATGATCCACTAGATCACGTTAAATTCTGAATGTGAACTTAGCTATTAACTTCGAGTCTTCTGCTGTCTGCTGATCATGTTTATAAATGCAAATAAATGTAACCATAGTAAAATATTGGTTTTATAGGGTTTTGGGGGGGGGGGTTTATCTGCTTCTAAACAACCAGATGAATTGAACGGGGAAACCGAAATTAGAGATGGTCAGGATTCTTAAAAACCAAAGCATTTAAAAGGTCCAAAAATAAAATAACATGAATGTATTTGTGAATCGAAAGATGATAGGATCATCTTTGAGGATCTCAAGGACGGCATGCGGGTTTAATATTTTATTTTATATAGGCCTATTTAGGTCAGTTTAATTCTTGCATTTCCATCCAGCGTTGGGCCCACGATTGTATAAATACGTAAAACATTGAAAACATTACTATGTGAATACATGTACCATAAAATTTACAATAACAATGCCAATAATTAATACATGGTAGAGGCGTCCTCGTCGCGGCCCTGGTTAACGCTAATTCTACCACCAACACACCTGTGGACAAATGACAAAATTAACAAATAACATTAAAATACGTCAAAAGGTAACAATTTTTACATTAAAATTAAAATATAAAGTAAATTAAAGATGTATTGTCCTTTGCTAATGTTAAAAATCATCAAAAATAATTTTGAAATAACTTGCTCATATTGCAATAGCATACAAACTATTAACTTGTGCATAAAAATTATTCGATTTAAAAAGTGTGTACCCTGATTTTTAAACCAAAAAATTATAATAAAAATAATAAAACACACTTCCAGTGACTGGAAGTTTCTATCATTTTTCGCTGTAAACTGATGGGTAGACATTTTTTAAATACACTAATTTCTGTGTTCAAGTTTATAACTTTTATGTTACTTCAAAATGAGCAAGTTAATTTCAAAAAATATTTTTATGATTTTTTTTGGTATTTAGCATGGGCCGACAATACATCTTTAACATGCCTACTCGTGTATCTGCTTTTTTTTCCTTGTAGACTGTGGCGAAACGCCTATGCGCTCTCATGCGGCGGTCCGCAGGGCCCCCGAATTCTAGGGGCCCCGAAGGGGCCCTACCGATAGGTTCCTCGATCTAGCAACCTGACCAAACGATCTAGCACCCTGACCAAAAAGGACTTTTTTGATAAATAACACCATAATGTGTCTCTGAAATCGACTGTAGGGCATATATCATATTATAACGATTAAAGACTGGGACCCCACCAAATTTGTCAACAAAAATGTTTTTAATGGAGATAAAAAGAAAATTTTATTCACAATATTAAGTCTGTGAATGCCATTTCCGGCCAATCAAGACGTGCCATAATAATACATTTTTCTATGTCAGCCCCACAAGGGCAACAGCATAATGTGTCAGAAATCGACTGTAGGACATATTATATCCAGTGGCGGAATAAAGAGTGGGGAGGGGGAGCTGCCGGCCTGGAGCTGCCAGCCCGGGACCCCACTAAATTTGTCAAAATATTTTTTAACTGGAGATAAAAAGAAAATTATATTCACAATTTTATGTCTGTTAAGTGCCATTTCCGGCCATCTAAAGGTGGCGTATTCATAGATTTTCTTACCTCAGCCCCGACCATGGTGGGTCTAAGGTGGTATAAACTCTGCACTGTGAAAGTCCCTCCCTGGAATTTTCTGGATCCATATTATATCATTTATTCATCGTTAAAAACATTTAGAATACCAATGCACATCTAAAATCCCACGATGGAATTGGCGACCGGGACCCAAAAAGAGCCCCCAGTTTCAGAAATAGACCTACACAGGGCCTCCGGCCCCATCGTTACGCCACTGTTTGTGGATAATAACATAAAACATTAATACGTTCATGTATTACGACAAATTAATATATAAATACAATACGGTATTAAGATTTAATACATCATTAAAAGGCTTTCCCATTAAAATATTCCAAAAGCGACTTGTTTCATGGGCCGAGTTGGTTAAGGGCCGAGTTGGATAAGGTCCGAGTCGGTTAAGGGCCGAGTTGTTGTATGGGCCAAGTTGGATAAGGGCCGAGTCGGTTAAGATAGTCTTGAATCAGTTGCTGGGTATGGGCCGCCAATAGATCGAAAATTACATGGAGCCTCATTAGAGAGCTAGGCTGTATCTAGCAATGCATTGATTGCAATATTATATAACTCGCATAGGTTCAAACTGTCCCACTTCCGGCGAGAGTGTCCCGCTTTTGGGGAGTCGTGTCCCGCTGTCCCCCCCCCAACCCCGAATTGTCCCGCTTTTTAGCTGTTTCATAAATAAAAATAATCACGATAATACCAAGATAAAACTCCGTAGGATACTCTCTAAGGCTCTACAGACAACGAGCCGTGTGGTGGTATAGTGTGTTCATTTTATGTTTTTTTTTTTAATTGTTATACTTGGTCGATATGGTATACAAATATGTGAATA